CTTGAATAACAGCCTGTCTTTCTTACAAAGATAACGGTAACTTGAATAACAGCCTGTCTTTCTTACATAAATAGCGGTAAAAGTATGAAGCATATTTTCAGTGTTAGATGTCTGAAATGAGTACATTTTATACTTTATGTTCTCATCTGAAGTTCTCTTGGTGAGGTATGTTAGAATTCACCCAGCTAACTTCATATATATAAAGAATGCATAATTAAAACGCATATAAATAAGAGAACGCTAGAAACCGGTTTTCGGCACCCGTGGTGGGCAGAGCACAGATAGCCCATTGTGTAGCTTTGTGCATAACTTCAAAAACAAAACAAAATAAATAAAAGTAATCCGTTTCTTTGCTAAAATATCTGGTAAGAGTAAGTATTACGATGAAACAATTACTAGTACTTAAAACTTTGAATCTAATGTTATATAAAATATTCTGCTTTTTAATTTTTTTCGTGAATTAATCTGGTTTAGTTTAAAATGTGATCTGTATGGATTTTTTATGAAACTACAGGACCCTGAAGAGGACGTCACGAGCTCAGTTGATGCTTATGTAGTAGTGTACTCTGTGACTGATAGAGAGACATTTGAAGTAGCCGTGGATATTCTGTTTGCACTCCGAGAACGAGGCTACACAGGAACGAGAGCAGTGATCCTTGTAGGCAACAAATCGGATCTCGTACGTTCGAAGACAATACCCACAGATGGTAAGCTTTTTAGATAATTGAGTAAAAAGTGACCGAAAACCTTTATTATCGTAGAGCGTCAGACTGAATATTAACTACTTGTATTTATATTTATTATCATTATCAGAGATTCACTTTTACTTAAGTAAACTGCCTACTGTGAAGTGCTTACTGCAGTGCTGTTTCCTTGGAAACTTTAACCTGAGAATGGGGTATATCGGTTATTCAAACACAGTTTTCAAAATTATATATGCACTAAACTGCTCGTCAGTCTTGGTCACGAGATCCATAATAACACATAAATCACACACAATTAAACAAAAACATCATCAACATTACAATTAATCATTCCTGCTGTTTACTGCTGGGGTCTCACTACATGGAAAATGAATGACTTCTGCTTCTTTTTACTATGGTCTCTTTTTAACACTGAGTTTTGTAACAGGCATAATCACAAAATATGGGAACCTTATCGGTATTGAACGGTATATTAACAAGACGGTAATTTGAAGGTTAAACAACGAATAACCAAGGCAACTATCTCCACAGAAGCAGGTAACATTGCTTCTCAAGATATTTAAGTAATGTAAAATCCAAGTATCTTCTTTGTACTTCTGTTACTGATTTTCGGTTACGGGTTGAAAGCTCGATTTAATATAAACATGGCTGTTTAACATTAAGAACTTGATGTAAAATTAGCCCATTTAAGTCATACATTGAATGCCTTCATCTTACTGAAAACAAAACATTCGACTAAATAGTAGAGGAAATCGAGAAGCATAATAAAGTAATATCAAATTCTAATTAAAACTTTCAAGGTTTCTTCCTGCACATTGTTTTCAGCGTAACATGTTTTTTATTCCAAGAGTTTGTTCAGTAGCAACTGCAAATAAAATGGTAAAGTAATATTCTTTTTTAAATGGATATCAAATACTTTCTACGCCTGGTGATGGTGCTAATATTACCTTTTGCACATAGATATATTAATAAGCCAGTAGTGATTTGGGCAGTTTCGGGATTTTATTCTTGTGAGAGGACAGGTGTTGTAGATTTTATTTTTCAACAATAAAGACATATCTAAGCCTAATCTGTGGAAACATTTTACTACGAAGTTCAACAAGTGTTTTTACGACATGTTCGAAAATTATTGGCCATTTATCAACATTTACTATGACAGTGTGATCGCTTTAGGTAAATATCTTGTTAAATATTTTTCATTGGGCAGATAGTTGGATTATTTTATTGCTCAGTTTTCAATGAAAATAATGGCAATGGTATCTCTATCGTTAAATAACTTGTCAATATATTTTTGGCCATTCTTAATAATTAATTGCAGAGGAAAATAATTTATAGAAATATTTATTTGATGTTTGAAGGCTCATGCTCAGAGAGCAAAATATTAAAAGTAATGTTATCAAAATTTGGATTAAAATGTCTTAAATTAGTTTAATATTAATATAATTTATCTAGCATCATTACCAACTTGATAATAAATCAAATTATCAAAAATGAAATAAGAATGTTTCGTACCAAATTTAGTATTTTCAGTATTTTCTTTAACTGATGTCTTGGACAACACTATGGTCTTGATAGACCAAATCTGTTGTAAAGTTAATATTGTCTTTTTTAATTCTAGTTTCAGTTGATGTACAAATATTTCAAATTTTGATTTCTTAATGGACGTGGATCAAGAGAAATGTTATATAATTTAAGAGTGAGATTAACCTTATCAACAGAATCGAGTTTTTTCAGAATAACAATCCCCTTGTGTTTATCATCTTTAATGACACTGAGAAAAACAACTCCATTGGGTGTATAAGGTTTAGTAACATTGAGGAGAACCGCACCATTGCCTTTATCAGGTTTAGTGACATTGAGAAGAACCGCGCCATCGCCTTTATCAGGTTTAGTAACATTGAGGAGAACCGCACCATTGCCTTTATCAGGTTTAGTAACATTAAGAAGAACCGCACCATCGCCTTTATCAGGTTTAGTAACATTGAGAAGAACCGCACCATCGCTTTTATCAGGTTTAATAACATTAAGAAGAACCGCACCATTGCCTTTATCAGGTTTAGTAACTTTGAGGAGTACCGCACCATCGCCTTTATCAGGTTTAGTAACATTGAGGAGAACCACACCATCGACTTTAACAGGTTTAGTAACATTGAGGAGAACCGCACCATTGCCTTTATCAGGTTTAGTAACATTGAGGAGAAGCACCCTATTGCCTCTATCAGATTAAGTAGCAATAAGTCTTTCATAGCACATTTAAAGCACTATTCAACTACCGATACAGTTAGTGGTTTTTTCTATGGTTATATTTATGAAGAAATATAAATTACTTACATGTGTTTTAATATTTTAAAACATTATTTCACTTTTGTTCAAATTGTTTCTTAAATTGTTGAACGAATAATTGAAAAGTGTTAAAAATTAATTAAAACAAACTTAGGAGGTAAAACAGCAAATGATGAACCTCCAACTGAGGATCATTTAACTAATGGTGGGAGATATATAATGATTTTATCGGAATTAATAAGAAAATCACCCTCTGAATTATTTTTTGGGATATATTTTAGACCCATTTTTAAAAGCTTTTATAATATTATAGATTTTATTGATTTTTCCTGATTGATTACTTGTCTTAGTACGATGGACATTAATGACGTCCCTCACAGTAAGTCTTAGGTTTTGGTCCGTCTTACGACCTGGTATGGCCTGGAAGAGGTTAGGGCGCTCGACTCGCCATCTGGAGGCCGTGGGCTCCAATCTTGTCACTGAATACACTCATCCTTTCAGTCGTAGGAGCGTTATAAAGTTACGGTCAATCACACTTTTCGTTGGTGAAACAGACCAAGAGTTGGCGATGGGTGATGTTGACAAGCTGTCTTCTCTCTAGTCTACCACTTCTAAATTAGGGAGGATTAGCGTAAATCAAAAAGCTTTGCACGTAATTAAACACAAAAATATTCCATCTTGTTTGTAATTTTTAATAATGTAGTCTTGTAGAGAAAAACGTGTTTTCATACTTTTCAGGACTGTTGTATCGTAATTAATGTCGAATCTGAGGTTTCTATATAGCAAACACAAGACTTAACTTCTCTTCTAGATCACGGAACATGCAGGGTAACTCTCAAGCCGACAAGTTTTAAAATACAGAAGAAAAGTTTTGGAGGATAGCATTTATTATTTCTAAGTGCATAATATGAAATCTAAATAAATCTGATAATAATTTTAGGTTCAAATAGCCCCACATTAGCACAGCGATATGTCTGCGGACTTACAACTCTAGAAACCGGGTTTCGATACCCATGGTGGTTAGACTACAGATAGTCCATTGTGTCGCTTTGTGCTTAACTTCAAACAAACAAACAAAGATTCAAACATTATTTGCTAGTCCGGCACGGATTTCCAGTAACAAGATAGTATCTGATAAGTTCTTTTGTTGAGCTAAATAGAAGGGCCGAAATTTTATAAGTTTAGCCGATGCGGTCTGATGGTTATCTGGCCCGAGTCCGATGGGTACTTACAAAATGTTGTCCACCCACTACCCGAATTTCTTCACACCAACCCTGATTTGGGCCCGAACTTTAAATGAAATATTGCTCACAAGATCGGCTGACCGTGGGAAGATCTAGATGGCCTGTTTTTATGTTCCAACCCACCAAGATAGAGAAGAAAAAGGTAATAATATAAATAATAATAACATGTGTACTTATGAACATTATGGTTGCTATTTAATTTGACCGTTTTAACAACTAATACAAAAGAAGCGTGAGACAGTATTACAAAATACCTTTAAGAGGTGTCTTTGCTATCGAGCATAAAAATTATGAAACTGCTAAAAAAGTATTATTTGGCCGCAGCTAAGTGTGTAGGTTACTGCTTTTTAAGAAATAAGTTTGATTTTTAAACAAAAGTTAAAAAGTTAAAAAAAAATCAAGCAAAGAGCCCGAAGAAGCCCTAATATTTACACACAAGTTTGACAAAAAGTTACCTCATCCAAGCCCGACTCAGTGTGAACTCGGATCCCATTATTTATTACCCGGCCTGAGCCCGTCCCGCGGGCCAGGGTCGGGCCCGTACAGACCTCCAGAGCAAAAGATTGCATCGGCAGCTGCAGAATAGACAATGTGTAGTTGAAATGCTATTCTATAGTTTTCTTACTGAAAACAGCATTGGGCTAGTAAACAATGATGTGGTTTATATTGTTCTAAGTCTGATTATGATATTATATTAACATATGTTTATATTTCTGAACTTAATGAATTTGTCGAACACCATTTCACGGTTTACCTATACAAAAGAAGGAATTGAATAAAAAATCTTCGAAAAGAACTAATTTTTTTTTTGGACAGAAAACATATAATGGTGAGATTCATCAAAATATTAAATTCTAGGCTAACCGGCGTGTTGATCTGATAAACGCTGATTTCATCCTAATTTTTACCTTGTACATTATTCGCACCAATTTTCAAGTAACATTCTGTTTTTTTACATTATGCTACTAATATTTCGTTTTATTTAAAAATCTTTCGACACGGGGTCGGTCAATTTGACCGAGTCACGTGACCTTCTGTACTCGTTTACAGTTGACATAAATTTAATACTTATAACTCTCTATATATTGGGTATATCTTCACGAAATTCGGAAATCTTTCAGTTAATATTACAAGTCTTCCACATACAAAAAG